TGCACTATCGGGATTTTGAGCACGCTTACGTATAATGAATTTGATTGCGCGACTCTGCTAGCTATGTTCTAATATTAAATTGGTTCATGCTTTAGCGTGCACTATCGAGTTATGGAGCACGCGGGAAGTTTGGAGAGCACGAAAGAAGCGTAAGAGTTGCCCGAGGCGATAGCCGAGGGAAACTCTAGCTTCTTGAGTGCTCTCCAAACTTCCCACGTGCTCCATAACTCGATAGTGCACAGCTGAAAGCATGAACCAATTGTTTTAGAACATAGCCGGTGGAATTGTGCATCAAATCCGACGCGAAAAACGGACAACAATATCAGTTGAAGCGAATCGTGACGGCGCTGATGCCGAGTCTCCTTTTCCTTTGTTTTTCTCTTTTTCTGCCTCATTTAAGAACTCTAGCCCATGGGAAAAGGTCGAAACATTGTCTTCGTTTTCGGACTAGCAGGCCGAGTTTCTGTTTGTATCCATTATTGTCGCGAAATGTATTATTTTTCCCCGCACTAGCAATGGCCGCTCGCGCGAAAAAAAAATTTCTGGCGAAGTCGGATTTGCTGACGCTATCAGCGTGCACTATCGGGATTTTGAGCACGCTTACGTATAATGAATTCGATTGCGCGACTCTGCTAGCTATGTTCTAATATTTCTTAGTGTTCATTTGGAAACTGTTCTTATTCTTAGTACTTGAGGTGCAGTCATTTTAAATTGGAAAATGTAATCGTTAATCTTATGACAGTGTGCCACGTGAACTGGGTTATGTTCTATATCTATTGGTCTTTATTAGTTTTAGCGAACTGTTCAAACTTGTCGTGGAACCGCCAAAGGGTATTTTAAGGCCCATATCTCCAACTAGCAACCACTTTTGGTCATAACTCCTCTCTTGGTAATGGAAGCCATTACTTGAGTGCTCACGAAAGAATTAAATTGTTAGTTTCTCATCGTTACTTGAAAGGCGCTCTTGGTGGTATATAAAATTTGAGTTTCTCTCGCCTTACAACTTGAAGTAAATACAGTTAGTTTCACACTAGTTGCTCTAATTGGTCGTTTCTAGATATTAAAGCAAGAATTTCTTACCTTTAGATTGATAGATAAAAAGTGTTAAGTAAATATCGGACCAGCTAGGACAGGCAGATTCACCGACTTGGCTCAAAGTTTGCATATAAACTTGGTTAGGGGTGCTTATCACGAAATGAATATTTTAAGATTGAAATTTATTTTACTTGGGAAATTACGGCTCACGGCCTCTTGGAGCCCCTCTGGGACATGGAAATGAGGCTGACCAAGAGCAAATTTTCAATTTCTGGGTTTTCTTTTGCATTGCTTACCTACTTTTGTATCTGTTTATATTATAAACAAAATCTGCCACTCTTCCTCTCTGTTTTGAAAAAGTAAATTTTGTAGTAAGACATATAAGGAGGGGTTGAAACACGGCATTCAATTTACTCAGTTTTAGGTGCTGTAAGGTCCCTGAAAAATACCATGAGTTCAGAAGCTTGTAGCACCGTTGGTTTGTCGAGTTAGAACAACCTGTTAGTTTTCTAAAAGGATATCTGTAATAGGTTATTTGCAGCAGAAAAATCAGAGCTGGGAGATTTCAATGCACTCCTACACCACCTAGTAGAATATGATAAGGTTCGTGGACGTTTTAGTCGCAGCCTCTTTAGAAGCAGTCCGGTCCAAGTTGGTATAAGTCCACAATAAG